TGACAAAAAGTTTACAATAGTTATAAATCAGAAAAACAAATTAAAAACAACACACATTAATAAGATACTAATATAACATAATAAATGACTATATAATTAATAAAAAAAAATACATAATTTGTAATAGAATACAGTATCATCTAATGAAACAAATTAATCAAAACTAACAATAAAAATAAATAAGTTACAAAACAAATAAAATCTAATAAAGATATATTTTATAATTTATAATACAATAAAATAAGATAAAAAAAGATTAACAAATAAATGAATTAATAGAAAAAAGATATTAAAATAGATATTTAATTTTAGTAAAAAACAAAAAAACAACAACTGACAAAAATGTTAAATAATGATGTTATTAAATACGTTAAAAGAAGTTCTATTTTGATTTTAATAATTTTAAATTTGAATAAAAAGCAATTTTAATGAAAATAAATAAAAAGTAAAAATAAAAATATAGTTTTAAAGTTCTTTGACTTTATTTGTTGAAAAAGAATTTAATTTTTAAATGATTATTTCCATTTAAAGAAGACGACAATAGCAGTATGATTATCCATTGATCCTCTTTTTAAAGACTCAGCAATCATTTCAGTAGCTACAGCATCAAAATCTTTTTTCTTATGTTTTTCAATTGATTCATAAGTAAGAGTAATAAGTTCTTCATAATTCATTTTCTCATATAATCCATCACAAGTTAAAATAAGGAATGGATTATGTTTTCCAATTGGTGTCATTTGAAGAGCAGGAATTGGTGAAACAAAATCTTTCATTGATTTGTTATATGGATATTTAAATTCTATATCTCCAAATGATCTTGAAATAGCAAGAATTCCATTAATTCTTCCACAAATAACTTGTCCACCTGCTTCTTCAATTCGTTTTTTTTCTCCTTCATCAGTTGGATTATGTTTTGTTGATAATGGAACAGGTTTACATCCTTTTTCTTTTGGTTTAGTAATTCCAAGAACTGCTTCAGCATCTCCAAGATTAGCTGTATATAATCGTTTTCCAACTAAAAGAACAACACATGCAGTACATCCATTAGTCCAATGATCAGCTTCTGAACGTTTAAGAACTTCTTGATCAGTTTTTAAAAATGCATTATATAATGCTTTTTCATAATTACCAGCTTTAAATTCTGTTTCATTAACAAGAATTTGTGCAAAAACTTCTTCAGCAACTTTAGCAGCTTCTTTACCTCCATGTCCATCAAATACAGCAAATAATGCCATTTGATCTCCTTTAATTTTAAACATTTTATTTAAATCAGGAATAATTAAATGAGCGTCTTCCATTTGTGGACGAGGACCACATTCTTCATGAAATCCTATTTCCATTTTTGCTAATTTACCTTTGTCCATTTTATTTGGTATGTTTTTTCTTAGTTCATTTTTTTTAATTGAAGTTTCTTTCCTTCTTATTTAAATATTGATAAAACAACATTGTTTTTACTTCTCTTGGTTTTATTTATTTTTTTTTCTTTTTCATTAAAAAACTTCCTTATAAACCTCTCATTTCTCTTCTTCTTTCTTTAAGAATTCCTCTCCTTTGTTTATTTTTCTTCTTTCAGTGTTTTTTCATCCTCTCCTTTTTTAGTTGTTTAACTAATCTAAAAAATTGAAAGTTTATCTACTCAAATGGATCAATCTCTTCCTTCTTTCTTATTTGTTTTGTTTCTTTTATTGTTTTATCATTTTTATTACTCAATTTTTATTATAGGCACTTTATTCTTTCCTTTGTTTCTATTAACTTGAATTATTCTGTGTTTAGAATAATACTGTTCTTCAATTCTTTTTTCTCAAAGTCTTTACTTATGGTGTGTTTTTCACTAAAGAAAAGAAAAAAAATTTCACTCAGTGGAGTTTATTTTGAAAGCTACTTAATTTTGGCTTTACACCCATTAAAAATTTTTTGAGATAAACCCCACTAGACTCTTAATGAACGTAATTATAAGATTCGGCAAATTAAGTTCTTGATTACCTAGTACATTAAGGAAATAAATGAAAAGACAACAACTAAGAAAGAAACTTCAAAAACAGGAAAACCTACTTTTTTCTCTTTTCATATAACTAGTGAAGATAATGGGGGACAAAAAAAATAGAGCACAATAGTGTAAATCACAGGGACTTTACCTTAAGAATCTACTTAGCTTAAGAATAGAAAAAATTAGAAAAGAAATGGTCACTATAAAAGAGAACTAGTATTGTGTCAAATTTCATTAGACTTAAGTTTAAAATATGTCTCAACAATCTACTAATGCCCATATTTATATTTATATGCTTGAACAAGGATATCGAGATGCAGCTAAAGTATTTAAAAAAGAAGCAAAAGTCGATTATGATGCCGAGGCTAGTTGTATAGAGTGTATTTCTGCATGTTCTTCACAATCATTAGAAAAGAAAGAAGGGATTGTAAGAAAATCTAGTTTATTACAAGACACTAAAAAGCCAGTAATTAAAACTGAGAAAGAAAAAAAAAAAGACAAAAAAGTATCGAAAAAAGAAGATGAAAAGAAAGCATCAGAAAAATCAACACCAAAGAAAGATGAAAATAAACCAAAAAAACCAAAAAATGCTTATTTATTATTTTCATCAGAAAAGTACCCTCAATATAAGAAACAGTTCCCTGATTTAAAAATATCAGAGATTGGTAAAAAAATAGGGGTCGAATGGAAAGAATTACCTGAAGAACAAAAGAAAAAATATATCGACCAATATTATGCATCTAAAGCAGAGTATAATGATAAATTAAAAGAATATGATGCACAAACACTAAGCACTGAAGATAAAAAAGAAAAGAAATCAAAAAAAGTAACAAAGAAGGAAGATGAAAAGGCTACAGAAGAAAAAAAACCAAAGAAAGTTGAAATTAAAAAAGAAGATGAAAAACCAAAGAAGGTTGAAAGTAAGAAGGAAGAAAAAACAAAGAAGGTTGAAATAAAAAAAGAAGATGATGAAAAAACAAAGAAAGTTGAAATAAAAAAAGAAGATGAAAAAAAAGAAAAAAAACATTCAAAGAAAGAAGATAAGAAAAAAGAAGAAATGAAAAAGAATGAAGGAAAGAAAGAAAGTGATAAAAAAGAAGATACAAAAAAAGACAAGAAAGTGAAGAAGTCGGAAAAGAAAGATGAGATAAAAAAAGAGGATGAAAAAAAACATGAAAAGAAAGAGGAAAAAACAGAAGAAAAGAAACCTAAAAAACCTGAAAGTGAAAAAGAAGAAAGTAAAAAAGAAAAGAAACATTCAAAGAAAGAAGATAAGAAAAAGGATGAAGAAAAATCAAAAAAGGTTGAAGACAAGAAAAGTAAAAAACAAAAAAAGGATGAGTCAAGTTCATCTGATGAAGATATGAATACTGTTCTTCTTAAAATTCAAAAAAAAATAAAATCGTAAATATAAAAAATACACACATTCTTTCAAATGATTACTTTATTAATTTTAATTATATTTTAAATAGATAAAGAATTAACAATAGAAAAAAAAAATGAAAGATTAGAATTTAGGATAGTATAATTAGACAATAACCAAACAATTAATAGGATTTCTTTTTCTTGAACGAGTTATACAACGCATAGGATTTGAACAAATAGCATCATATGATTGAGAAGGTGTAAGACCAAGAGTCCTACCAAAATGTTGTAGTGAACGAAGAGACTTAAATGAATTTAATGAAGTAGCACCACTTGAAAGAATTAAATTTCTAGCTTTAGTTAATATGATAAAGTCATGAATATTTGAAAAAATTTGAGAACGTAAATTTCCATTTTTAATAGATGAAAGAGATGACATCTTTATTTCAAAAAAAATTCCTCTTGTAAGAGCAGTTTTTATAGCATTTATATTAGTATAAAAAGAATACCGTAAAAAGTCTAATGTAATAATATCAGTAGTTGCTAATGAACATGTTTCATTAAATGCCCTTTCATTAGTTGGTTCTACTGATACTAAGTCAAATGACTTACCAATAACAACCTATTTCATTAAATATATTTAATGGACAAAAAAAATTAAAATAATAAACAAACTAAAGAATGAAGTGTTTGTAAATTTGATACAATAAATGATGCTCTTGTAAGTTGTTTATGACTAGGTAATAATGAATATTCTCCACTAGGTAAATTAGTTTGATATTGATATTTAGGTGGTTTAATGTCTTGGAAAAGCCTATTTTCTTTAATTTTAATAGCAAAAATTACATAGCGAAATTCATTAAAAAGAGGAGATTGGGATATTTCATTATATCCATTCTCTGAGTATTCAACACAGCAATCAGCCATTTTTCGACTTTATTAGTTTTCGCCGTCAATTAAGTGATTTAAAAAGTGGTCAGCATTTTATTTTTCTTGGTATCAAATTAGTAGTTTTCCCTTGTATTTCTTCTTTTTTTTTCATTTTTGGTAATTGTTTTTTTTATTTCGCCATCAAATCAACTCTTTTGTTTCTTATTTATTACTAATAATCGTTTAGAATCTACGATTGATTTTTGAGAGTATATTGACTGAATTATCTAACGTTCAATACTATTTTATTAAAAAATCTTTTTATTTTAATCTTTATTTTTCTATATTCTTACTTTATCTTTTTTTAATTTTGTGCTATTTACTAATTTTCAAAGCTTCTTTTTTAAAACAACTTCTTGAAATAAACACATTACACTAACTTTCTGATGCAAGATAGTTTATAACAAAAAACTAAATAATTGAAGGTTCTAAACCATTTAAAAAGAATAAAAATAATGAATGAAAAAGAAGCTTTATTTTAGTTTAAATAAGTCACATAAACTATAGAATATCAAAAACCAAAAGAACAATAGAAAGATTTATGACAAAATCATAAAAAAATTAACATACATTTAACATAAATATAATTTTAATAAGAAATATTTTCTTTAAAACTAAATATTATTAAATTCATTTTTTTAATAAAACTAAATTAATCTATAAAATAAAAATAGTTTTAGTAAAACTTCAATTAGACACAAATATGTTCTATTCAATTCTATTCTTCATCCATTAAACAAACCATATTTTCTTGAACAAATTGAATAACAGGACCATTCATTAAAAGGTCATCTATTATTTGTTTTAAAACATTAATCACATCATTATTATTTGTTAATGCAACATAATGATAAATTGACATAAGATGAATAGGTTTTAAGAGTACAATAATTTTCTTAATAGTTTCTATTCTATTTGCAATTATAGGTACATCATTATTAATTTTATTAATAAATCCAATCAATGCATTTGACACTTCTTCTGGTGTTAATAAATCATGTTCAATAGAATAAAACACATCACTTGCCATTGCTAAATATTCAATACAATCATTTTGTATTGTTGAAGCTTGACAAGTAGAATAGAGTAAAGCATCTTGAATTGCAAAACATGTTTTTGTAAGAATGATCCAAAATTTTACATGAAATAGACCATGAACATAACTAGATTTAAGTTATATAATTATAAAATAGAAATAACAAAAAGATAAATCAAACTTGGATGCTAAACGATGAATAATTTCCATTTGTTGATTATTTTCATAATACAAAGCTTTAAAAGCATTTACATTTCTTCCAAGATTCTAAAGAAATAAGTCTTTTATTTTCTTTTTAATAGAGACTGTTTTTTTTTTGGTTAGTAGATTTATTTAATATTACAAACAGAATAAAGGTCATCAGTAATTTTTTGTAAAGACGTTGTAATACCTTCAAAACTATCACATGATGATTCTTCTACAAATTGAATAAATTCTTTCATATCATTCTTCATATCAGAAATTAATGGGATTGCATCTTCATATTCTCCAAAGAATTCAACAGCTTTTAAGAAAGTAAGAGGTTGAGTTGGTAGATTAAGAGTCATAAAATAATATTACTAGTTCTTTTTATGAAAAGAAAAAACCGAAATGAAAAGGAACAAATAATAAAAAGAGAATTTTAAAAGATTTATCAAACATTTAAATAAAAACAATAACTCGTTTATGTGATTGTTTGTTTAATGATACTCATTCTTCATTTGTTATGACTATTCTTCAATTCGATAATGAATTGGTAGAATTTGATGGCTTTACTTTAAATTGATCACCAATGCATTGAATGTATACATAACAAGATGTAACAACTCGAATTGTTTCAGGAAATCCCTTTTTTAGTCTAGCATCTTCAAGTTTTTTTAAACATTTATTAAAACTACCAACATTATATCTTAAATGGTTTTTACGTTCTTTTTCTCCTTTAATTCCATCATAAATATTAATTCCTTTTAATTGAGTATATTCTTTAAAAACATCTACTGCAAGAATACTTGGAAATCCTTTGATTCTTGCAACACTTTTTCCTTGTTCTATTATTTTTTTCATGACATCAATAACTAAATTGTAATTTACATCAAAAACACATTTTTGGGGATTTTTAAATAAAACACTTGTAGACAATTCTTCAGTCTCTTCTAAATCTACTTTTTTTTCTTCACTATGTTCTCTCATTGTTTTTAGTGTTATATCTTCAATAGTATCTGTTTCATCATCCTCAATAACTGTTTTCTTTTTAATTTCTTTTTTTCTTTCTTTTGTTGGTTGACGTGGCTTTTTCCGTTCTTCTTTTTCTAATGAGAGTCCTTTCATTTCAAATAATTGTGTTGTATTTGAATCTTCTCCTCCAACAAGAGCAAGTCCTATTATTTCATCATTTATTTCATTGTATTGTTTTTTTAATGTCATTAGATCCCTATTCACATATTCCAACTTAGTTTCTAACAATGCTTTCTCTTGTTTAGTCTTTTCAATTTCACTTTTAATTCTTTCAAATTGAACTTTTTGTGTTGCTAATTCTAATTCTTTCTTTTCATCATTTTCTCGAAGTTGAAGAATCTCTTGTTTTAGTCTTTTCACTTCTTCTTCTGCTTTTGAGCATTTTATTTTCATCTCTTCTATATTTTTTTCTTTATCTTTCATCTGTTCTGCATTGCTCTTTAATTTACAATATTCATCTAAAGACAAAGTAATGTTCTTATCTACGCTCATTGACTCTTTTTGAAGATGGTTCTTTTTTATTTGATCCTTTGATTCTTTTCTTTTTCTTCATCTTTTCCTTTCTTTTTTTTCTCTTTCTACCATTTATTTTCCCTAAGTTTTTAAAGAATAGATTTTATTTTAGGGTTTTTTATAACCCTCACTATTTTTATATTTACTAATAAAAATTTTTAAAAGAAATGTTAAAAATTATGAAACATCTTTCTTTCCTTTCTTTATTCGGACGTCACTACTCGCTTAAATTCTTCAAATGATATTTTCCCATCTTTATCTGTATCAGCTTCTTTAATCATAGCATTGATTTCCTCGTTTGTGAGTTTTTCTCCTAGTGTTGTCATAACCCTTTTTAAAGAGACAGTTGTAATATAGTCAGTACCTTCAAAAGCAAAAATGTCAAACACTTGACGAAGTTCTTCTTCAGTCATTTACTTTATTATTTTTTCATAGTTCTGTTTTTTGTCTCAAGAAAAAACTATTAATTATGACTTACCTTTTCAAATAAATTCAACAGCTATATCTTAGGAAGAATAAAAAGGTATCTCTTAGTTTTTTATTTGCTTGTCATTAATTATCCAATTATTATCACATTCTCAAAAAGACATGAAAAATAAGAAAATCTAAACTGAATCTTAAAATTTTATTTAATCTTAATGAAAGTAGAAAGTCTCGCAAAATTCAGAGAATACGCAGAAGCATTGTTCAGGGCTAATCAAAATGTTTGTTAAACAAAAGACTAAGGTTATTAGTCATGAATTTGTAATTCAAATTGAATTAAGAAAGGGTTGAACTGATTAGATAGACAAGATATTTTATGAAGTATCGAGATGATGATTTGATTATTACTTTAAAAGTTACTGATAACGTTAAAACATATACCTACGACATTAAGGATAGAAAAGAAATGAATGCTGTTACTGAATTAAATATGAAAATGATGTCATACATGTCAGGAAGAACAAAATTGGAATAATCAATTCACTCCTTTTGGTAATTATTTTTCCAGTATTATATTTTAATGGAACAAATGAAATAATAAAAACTCAATTTAGAAACCATGGATTTTAATATTTTCTGGAAGAAGAATACCTTCAGCAAGGAAGAAATTTGAGGCAGCTTTACGTTGATCACCTGATAACTTAAATTCAACTTCGCCATCTTTTGATTTTTGTAATGAGCCGTTACAATTAAATGTCTATAAATATTTAGTTATATTGAATTTATAAGTATCTTCAAAAAAAAAGACAAACACGTTTAAAGTGCTTAAGAATTAAATCAGCGTCATACCTTTCTGGAATACCTGTAATTGTTGTTACACATTTTCTTCCATTACGTTGTTGTATTCTAAAATGAACAATAAATGATCCTTTTCCTGAAATGGTTGATTCCTCAACTAGTTGGTCGTTATTTGTAATAAGTTCAGCTGATTCTGCCATGATTGTGACTTTTGGTTCTTTTAGTTCTTTTTATGTTTTTGTCTTTCTTAAAATTATATTTTTATTATATTTTTATTATTATTTTACTATTAAAACCCTATTCTTTTTTTTTATCACGCATTCAACTTTGACGTTTCATTAATATCAAAAAATGTGTTATAAAACATACAAGAAAGTACTAAGTAATTATAGAATGGAAATCAGGGTTTAAAAACAAAAAGTAATTAAAACAAAAGGACTAAATAATCACATTGAAGTTTAATGGAAAGAGAAGAAAAATACGAAAAGCCACAAAAGAAACAAGTCCGTTCTGTTGACGATGTAAAAATATATTCAGTCAATCATCCAATTGAACAAAAAGCAGTGAAAGAAAAACATTTTGTTGAAATTGATGATACAAAAAGTAAAAATGACATGAGAAAAGAATATAAATCACAAAAACATCAAAAGCCAAAAGGAAAAACACCTCAAAGAGGAGGTAAACGAATAGAACGATTTGAAGAAGATTAAATAATATTTTGATGTCTTTTTTTTTCATAAATTGAAAGAAAATTCATTTATTTTTGTTTTTTTTATTGTTAAAAATATATTTCTTTACTAAAACTCAATTCAAATAAAATGAGAATATCATTTTATATATCAATCTCAAATGGACTGTATTCAATCTTATGAAGAACAACTACAGGAAACTTCCACTCAGGATTATTGTTTGGTATAATCTGACTCTTTTCATAATCAATACCTTCTTCTTTTTCATTCTCTTGTGTGTTATTATCTTCATCAATAACAGAATATCGTGTAAAATGAGGAACAACAAAAGTAACAGTTTTAGTATTTTCTTCATAACTTTTAATATCTACTTTCTTACTTAAACGAGGAAGAAGTTTTCTAAATTCTTCTACTGTATCAACGACATTCTCTAAAACAATAGTAGCTTCTTTATTTAATTTCTCTCCAAATCGAGGTTTTTGAATTCCATCTGGATAAACATCACAATATCCTCGTTCTATAATAATAGATATATCTAAATTAACATTTGTTAAATCAACTTTTGACCACATAACTTTACCATAACCTGGTCTTGAAACTTCAAATGAAGAAACATCTTTAAGTTGTTCAATTGACATAGCTTTTAATGTTTGCATTGAAGGATTACATACATATCCTTGTTTTAATCCTATTGGTTTAATGTCATATGAAACATTTGGTTGTAATGACTCAATTTCTCTTTCAGCATCAAATAATATTTTGTCAATAACTTTTGGATCAATTATACAACATGATGTATTAAACATCATTTCTTCTGGTCTTACAAAATCTGGTTGATTCATTGATGTTTGGTCATGATATACCCATGACTTTTCTTTATTTTGTTTGTCTTTTGAAACGTTAGTTCCAATTGATAATGATGAAATAGAAAGAGGGTTTAATAACACTGTGTTATTATTTCCTGTTGTTGAATTTCCAAATCCAGTATTAAGTGTGTTTGAGAAAAGACTATTAGTACTTCCAAGTCCTGTTGTTGTATTTGTTCCAAATCCATTATTAAGTGAAGTGGAAAAAAGGTTAGTAGAACTTCCAAATCCTCCATTTGAGTTTAATGAAAGAAATGCATTAGTTGAAAGACTAGGTATACTGCTATTTGTTCCAGATGTTAAAGAGGTATTTTGATTTAAGTTTTGCATGAAATGAATCTCAAGATTTTATTTTCCTATTTTTGTTTTTTATCTTTATAAAAATGCAATATATAACAAAAAATAATAAATTGTATTATTTTAGTTCAAAAATATTCTTTTTTTAAGAAGTACTTTATAAGTTTAATTGAAAGAAATAATAAATAAAATAAATGATATTCCTATTACTTTCATTATTAACCAAGTCATTATAATGACATGAATTTAAAAAGTTAGAAAAATGAATTAATTTTAATCTCAAAACATAAGAAAAAAGAAAAATAATAATTGTATTAAATAAAAAATACAAATATTATAAATATTTTTTAGTTTGCTTCATTCAGAATAATCAAAAAGAATAATTTTATATGAAAATAATCAGAATGAGACTATTTATTTTAATTGATTTTTAACTTATAAAAATCCGTTTTGTTATTAAAATAATCAACAATAAATTTATTCACCATTAATCGTCTAAAAAACAAAATGAGTTAAGCAATAGCATCATATTCGCTAGACTTACTAGTCATCTTCTTATAAATGAATAAAATTGTAATTGCAAGAATCAAAATTATTGTGACAACAGCAATACCAATAGCACACCCAACGGCAACCCAAAATTCTACAGAATATTTATTGTCATCTTCTGTTCCACTACTTGAGTCATTACTATAACTACTTGATTGTTCAGAGAAAGCACAAATAATGAATAAGGCAAGAAGAATGACTACTTTCATTTGTAGTATTGAATTGAAAACCCTTTTACTAGATTAGATTAAATAACAAATATTCTTTCTACTCAAACTATTCAAAGTTTTTCTATATAACAGTTCAATTTAAAGAATAAACTACCATTTGTTGAAGATAAAAGCAGATTATTATTATTTTTCTTTAAATTTAAAATTATTTTTAATATTTCAAACTTATTATATTGTTCATGTTATTACCAATAACTGTTATTTGCCTAAAAAACTGTTTCTATTTAATTTAATATTTTATAGAATGAAGATAAAATAAGTTTTTTATTGACCCTATTAGTAATTCAAATTAAAAAAATTAAAGCGGAATTTTCATTTCTCATTTCTTTGTTAAAAAATATATTGAAATTTAATAATTTATAAGTAATCTTTTATTATACTAATTTTTCATCTTTTTTTTTCTGTATTTCAGAAATTTCTTTTTTAAGGGTTTCAAAATTTCTCTTCATTTAATTTAAAAATCAAAAAGTATATTACGTTCTATCATGTTTTATTTAATTCATTTAATGAGTCAAAAACTTTGATTGACACAAATTTAACGATTGTGGTTCAATAACAAAAATTTTTTCTCATAACTATCATTAAAATAATAAAAAATTAAAACAAATATCCTTTTTTTATTAAGGAAATATTGCGTAGATTTGATGAAAATAAGATATTGAACGATAAAAAATATCTTTAAAATAAAATCAATTAATTAAGTAAATTGATAAATATATAATAAGTCTTGTCAACTAAAATGAATTTAAACTAATTAATTTTAATATTCATCTATGTTGTTATACTAATGGCAATAATATGGTTATAATAAAAATATTATCTAATTAATGTTATTTACTTCTATATTCAAGTTTCCATTTTTGAGTAAATACTTTATTAAACAAAAAAATGATTTACCCTGTCATATTCTTACATCCCATCATTCTACATTTCTATTTATTCTCCTTTATTTTTAATAAATTTGTTTGCAATAATACCTTTAAAATAAACATTCTTTTGATGGATATAAGCACACCCTATATCATTTTATATTTCTGTTATTTGTTTTATTGTTCTTTAATAAACATTGTTCAATTGTATTTTTAAGAAATGAAGTAAAAACTTTTAAAACCCAATTTATCCATGTAATAGTCAATAATGTTTATGATTTAATTCATATCATTCTTTA